AAAAAAAAAAAATAAAAATAAAAAATAACCGTTTGATAGCGATTTAAAATGCGTTAGTTTATTTTATATAGTAAATAAAACAATCAATGTATTATTTTAGAGTTTATTCGCGTTATTGTGTTTTACTCCAAAGTCATAGGATAATTTAACACGTCGATATAATCGCCCGCAGTAAAGACATCAAGAACGCATTGCATTTGAAAGCGAACGAAGAATTTATTGTTACGATTATGGGAACGGTTTTGTTTTTACACGGTATTACGCGTATAATATCCCGAAAACGCCGGATGAATAACCCGCGAACCTGCAGCGTGTGTAATATTTTGCGAACCGAACGCGCATATAATAATAATAATAATACACCTGTCATCGCGGTAAACCGTTGGTTTGCAAATAATGTAGCGGAAAGTTAAAAAAATCGTATAAAAAGCAAACAATAACGTCTGCCGCGGACGTTATTGTTGCGAACGAGGGTTTTTTTTTTTTTGTTTTTTTTGAAAAGCTTTTTATACAAATCTTTTATCCGAGTTAAAAAAAAATCCAACTATATATACCAGCTATATAGTGATAATAATAATAATAATAATAATACAGTAACGGAAAAGCAAAAATCAATAATATAACGCGTATTACAGACGAAAAAAAAACTCCCATTAAATCCAATTAAAGTTAAATAAGTTATTTTAACTCGGGGTGTTTTAAGCCGCGTACTTAATTATTTTAATTATTTATATTTTAACAGTTTAACGTGGTATATATTTATATAGGTACACGGAGATTGAACGATGAGACTTTACGAAGTCGGCAGCTGATGATACATAGCCTTTTTATTATATACTTTTGTATAAATATTACGATGAGCGCGAGTATATTTAATAATATCAATCGCTATGAGAAAAAAAAACGGTTAAATAATCGAAAAAATCTATACGATATTATATAGACACGATCAGCTTTCAATATTTTTCTGGGGAGGGACATGGAAAATCATAAGAAATTCAAAGAGATACCTATTTCTTAGACGATATTTTATTGAAATTATATCAGTGTCTGGGGGAGTGGGTAGAGAACCCCTGTAAATCCTAAGCAGGGAAGGTAAAGGGGAAATATAATGTGCATCTGCAGAACGCAGCGATTAATCGTTGAACTTGCGGAGTTCGGTTACACATATTTTCAAAGGTCTTAATTTTTACGATTTGAAAAAAAATAAACATCGCACGTAGGTGCAGCCACTGCTGTAGACGGGAAGTCGGGAAGGTAGAAAAGGGGAAATTTGATGTATATCTGTAAGCAACGATAAATCATCGCTAAAGAAAAAATGGTTTGTCAACAATATATATGCCATTTTATGGTAAAATAATTACGTAGGCATTAAAAATTGTTTTTAATAATATTCGTTTAATATTGTATCTATTTTCCCACGGTTTTTTTTCTGTTTTCACGTGTTGTTTCCCGGGTTTTCTTATTTATTTCTGATAGAAGAGTTGCCCACAAAAAAAAATAAAATAAATAAACATCTTTGTAAAGCCATAATAACTTCTACGCTCCACTTAGAATCTAAAATGGAATGGACGAATTATTGCGCACTATAATTTCTATTGAAATTTCATTAATAAATATAGGTGATTACATTTTATTATTAGTATAGATATTTTTTTCGATTTTGAGTATAATAAAGAAACTATTAGTTTTACAAAAATGTGTTGTTTTTTTTTTTCGGAAAACAATTTTACAGTTAGTAATAGTATACTGACGGTACATTTTTTAAGTTTTTGAAATTCTCAGTACATTTTTCATAAAATCGCTTCTTTTTTTTTTTTTTTTTGCAAAAGCCTCAAGTTTTCCACATTATAATACCTCATATACGAAGCGGATTTTCTGCTCGCTGTTATTACCAGAATCATTTATCGAGATTTTCAGTAGTACACCGGACCATAGATTTTTTTTTTATCGTCGTTTGACTTTTGTTGATTCTCGGATTACCTTGAAAAATTACAGCTGAGGGGAAACCACCACTAATACTATTAAAATCCGCTCAAAATCGTATTTTAATTGGCAAACAAAACTTTT